CAGAGCAGAATGGTGCTTTGATCTCCCTATGTTACAATGGAAAAAATGAGAGAATTCTTCAACTTCCTCCTCTTAGGCCTGACAGGTTGTTTTAAAGTCCCCAGCAGGGGGGTGGCTCTGCAGTCAAGGGCCAATCTCCACTTAGGGTGTGGAAATATGGGTGGATGCCTCAACTAGAGCAAAAATCTCCTATAACTCATATTTGCCTATAACTTTTCATCTGCACCAGTGACACTCTACCCGCGGGTAGATTATTATGCAGACAAGGCTGAGGATTAGATATGAATTATGAAATTATATACTGCACGGTTCACAAGATCTATGTTTCTGCTTCCCTGAGTGTCCGAGACAAGGCGAGTGACCCATCAAACTGTTTGTCTGCTCATTGGCCATCTGACGAGGTGTCCGGGTTTTATGTACGTCTCTCATATTCCAAGATATGAGACATAGGGAAAAAATGGATTTACCAGAAGTTATCTGATTCTGTCACCTACACAGAGTTAGGTTTTATGAGGTTAGAATCTCTTTCAACTTCTGAGAAAGCTTGCCTTATCTCTTAGGAGGTGTTACAATTGGCAGGTTCTGTGGACAGAGAGACTCCAACTCTCTTGGGGGCTTTTACAGCTCCTATGACCCTCCTGTGACATTCCTAACTGACACACATACTGGCCACATGTCGCTGGGCCTCTCAGGAAGGGAGGGGGAAGGAGAATAAGGGAGAAATGGATACTCTTAACAAAATGGAGTCTGTGTCCTTCACTGTGTGTTGCGTACGTTTGCGACAATATGCATTTATTATTTCTTTGCAAAAGGTGGACTTAGCCTTTTAATTACCCAAACTGACTGCAGTGGAAGATATTGAATCCTATTTCACTACTTTTTAAGCATGTGGCCAAAGCCAGTAATTGGCCACAGAACTGTTGCGTAATACGCTTGGCTCCAATCTAATTGGAAAGGCACAAAAAGCAAATGACTCCCTGAATATTGCAGATGCTGCCAACTATGATGCTGTAAAAAGAACTTGGTTGAAGGTCGATGCTTCAGCTTGCATTAATTTAAAGAACCCTATCGCAAACACATTAAACATTCAAACAGTACACCAGCCAAAATAAGATAAAAATGAATAGCTTATTAAAAGATAAAGAAACAAAACCAGCTTTTGCTGCAATACTCTCCTTCAGGCTAGAGATTTCCCCTGCAGTATTTTTTTTTTTTTTTTTTTTGTTGCTGCCACTAGATGTCCTCAGTCTGATCACCAGCCACATTCATTCTATTTCCTCTGAGTCCTGGTCATTCTGGGCCTGCCCCTTATTTTTTACTAAAACAGTGAAAGGATAAGCAGCACAGTGATGAGCTCTGTCACTCTGCTCTCTCCACCTTTCAGCATGCTTGTTATCAGCACATGCTTCAACCCCTGCTGTACAGGGATGGAAAAAGGCTTATACCAGGTCACATTCAGGTATCTACAATCCTTGTATTAAAACAAAATGTAATAATGAATACAGCACTGCATTACTTTGACTTTTAGATCTGCCTAGTGTTCAGTTGCAATAATATATCTTCTGTATGAACACTATGGAACATGGTTGTCTATATACAGTATGTCAAAGATAAAAATATCCTTGCGTGGTTGGCATGCATCTTCTGTTGAGTTTACATACCAGTTTTGGCTAGTGTTCTATCCACATCTCTGGACAGTTTGTTTCTCTATAGATTATACAGACGTGTCATATTTCACCGGAAGTGGCTGCTGAACGATCTCCTAGTCCCATAAGCCTGGAGAGGTGGCGAATATGTGGACAGGCCTATTTTGATAAGGGGACATTTTCCAGAAATTCTGCTGAGATAAGACAGTCCCTGCAAATGTTTGTGCTCAGTCTACAGCCCAATATAGAAGTAACGGCTCTATATTAGGCAGGAATTTTCCATTTTCTCTAAATATCCTCCTACCATGGAATGCCAGTCATAGGAAAAATGGAAAACATATCTAAATGAGAAATCCACTCTAGTTCCAAAATTCACATGTAAATTCCCTTAAACTTAGTTATATCTGATGTTTATAATAAATTGGATAAATTAATGCAATTTAGGATCCTGCACCCTGAAGAATGTTTTATCTGCTCTCTCTTTCCTCATATGGAAATCCAGATATTATTACTAGTTGCTGGTACAGAATTTTTAAAAAATATTCTTTGTTACAAAATGGCAATTTATTGATTTTATCTATAATGTATATTCCTCAGTTCACAATATAAAGAACCTCCAAGCCAGCAGGACATTTTGCACATTAATCCTAACTGAATGGCATTTGGTTTGCTCTGTGCACTGTGTATTATAAAAAAAATAGATAAATAAACTGCCACCTAAAAATACCACTTGTTTTCACTTTTTTTTTTTTCTTGCTTTGCTAACAGTTCATGTCAGGCCAATTTTCAGTGCTGTCACACTTTTGAATGACAATTGCGTGGTCATGCAACGCTGTATCCAAATTAAATTTTTTAGCATATTTTTTGAGACAGACAAAACTTTCTTTTGTTGGTATTTATTTACCACTAAGATTTTAATTTTTTTGCTATATAAATTAAAAAGACCAAAAATTTGGAAAACAAAAGTTTTTCTTATAAAATTTAGAAAATAAATACATTTTGGCCAAACTGTATTCAGCTATCTTTTTGGTAAAAAAAATAAATCAAATCCGTTTATAAAAAAAAAAAAATTTTCAAAACATTTTTGTTTTTTTTTTTATACTATGTATGTATATTTTTTTTTATTTTACATACTGTCACCCTAGCATTACAGTGTCACCATAGTGACACTGTACTACTTGTGGGAGTTGATGAAGATTTTTTTTTTTTACTCTGCTTTTACATCCATAAAGGCTGTAAAAGAAATAATTTCTCCTTCTCTCTGGCTACATTTCTGCAACCATTGAGAAATACTGTGAGAGCTGTGATTGGTCACAGCTTATCACATGGTACTAGGCTGTTGTGAATGCCCTTGCACCATGTGACCTCTGTGATGATTCACAAAATTCTTGTTCACAAATATCTTGTTTATTATTGTTCATGTGATCACTGATTGGCCAATCACTGATTACATGAATCAGGACCCGTACATTGATCTGTGTGTCGCTGTGCACAGATTGCAGCGCTGCATGCTGCCAGGGAGCGCGCACAGGCAATGGATGCGAGGGGACGTTTAGAAATGTCCCCCCCCATTGGAAACGCTCCCCTCCAGCTAGGTTCACAACTTTGCACTTTGCATTGGATCCGTTTCTACAGTGCTTTTTGCGATGTGTTTTGCGTTTTTTACATGTTTTTTGATGCATTTTGCATCTTTTATGTTGTTTTGTTTTTTTAACAACTTATTGCTGGGCAGATTAAAAACGTAAAACACATCAAAAACGTACTACTTGCATTTCTGCAGCATTTCCATTGATGTCTATTAAACCAAATGCACTATTTTGCATTTAAAAGAAGTCCCTGACCCTTTCCAAAAATCACACCGGTTGAAAACATGGAGATGTGAACTTCACCCATAGGAAATCATGGTAAATGGACTGTAGTGCATTTCTGCAAAATGCACCACAAAATGCTTAGGTGTAGATCTAAATCTCAGTGCTACTGATCTCCTGCAACCCTTTTGCAACCACTTCTCATTTAGATGCACTCCATGAGTTGATGGCTGCATGACATTTTCCAGGGTGGGTTTCCTAAGGGTGACAACAGTGGACTAAGCATATGTACTGTGTGTTGTCACACACAGTCACTTGTAGTCTCCATTAGAGGCCTATGTGACATGGTGACAATGCACAAGGGCAATTGGGAGACAAGGACAGAGCAACTGAACAAAGATCGACAAGGAATTACGATAACATATTAAAGCTTAAAGAGATTCTATTAATTGGGTTTACATGTACTCTAATACCATGCATGTTTAATCTCCGCCTTTAAGCAGGATTTAAAAAAAACAGGTTAACTTTAATGTGATTCTCTTCAGCATCTCATACATACCTATTGCTCACCTGCTGCATTCGGTCATCAGAACTAAAGGAGGGTTCTAGTGTATGGTACAAGTCACTGGAGTTGATGGACTTGCTGTGTGACAGCACTGATTGGCCACATGCTCTCTATACCTGGAAGTACTGTACAGGTGCTGAACTGAGCTGCTGGGGAACAATGGAAAAGTATAAACTGCTAGGATGAGGGAATTGAAGCAAATCTGTTGCTCTCCCTGACCCGGCAAAGTATAGTTTTTCCATAAACCCTCATTAGCATTCAGATTTGGGTTACAATTAATGCCAATCTAGGGGATGAATGCAGGCCAAGGAATGCGGTCAAACCCAGGAGATTCTTCTGAACAAATTCAGATTTTTTTGTTTAAGTAATAATGCCCTAAAGTCTCATTTCTCCCATTGCATTCAATGTACAAGATCCATCCAACCAAAAGAGATTAAGTTTTAGTTGGGAGTCTGGCAGGTCAGGTCTTTGGCTTCCTATGTTTTGGTTCAACAGTGACATTGCTTTGGCATCATACCTATCTGTGCTCCTGCCCACCTGGGAGTTTTGGGTGTTTCTGTCCACCTTTGTATGTTACAGCTCCTCCTATTACATTCTTCATAATCTAAAATAAATATATAATTCAGCAGGGAAGGTGGGAACCCATCATAGGGGGCATAGCAGTTGTGCAGCCTGGGGAACTCAGGGCAGGGATGATAGGAACCCTTCATAATGGGCACAACAGGTGTGCAGCCCGGGGAACTCAGAGCAGAGATCTCACCAAAAGAATCACTGAGAGAAAGAAAAAAAATACAAGGGAAATTTTTAACCACTAGCCTACAGGGCACATATACCCCCTTCCTGCCCAGGCCAATTTCCAGCTTTCAGCGCTGTTGCACTTTGAATGACAATTGCGCGGTCATGCAACACTGTACCCATATGAAATTTTTATCTTTTTTTGAGACAGAGCTTTCTTTTGGTGGTATTTAATCACCTCTGGGATTTTTATTTTTACTTAAACCAAAAAGCACTGAAAATGTTGAAAAAAAAAGTTTTTTCTTAGTTTTTGTTATACAATTTTGTAAATAACTGATTTTTCTCCTTCACTGATGTGCACTAATGAGGCTGCAGTGATGGGCACTGATAGGTGGCACTGATGGGCACTGATGAGGAGGCATCGGTAGGTTGCACTGATGGGCATTGATATATGGCCCTGATAGGCAGCACTGATAGGCGGCACTGACTGGCACTGATAGGCGGCACTGATGCGCACTGATAGGCGGCACTGATGCGCACTGATAGGCGACACTGACTGGCACTGATAGGTGGCACTGATTGGCATTGATAGGTGGCACTGACTGGCACTGATGGGTGACATTGAAAGGCAGCTCAGATGGGCACTGATATGTGGCATTGATGTGGCACTGATGGGCACTGGCAGGTGGCACTGACTGCTGGCACTGATGGACACTGACAGGTGGCACTTCTGGGGCCACACTGATCATCAGGGCACACTGATCATCAGTGCCCTGATGATCAGTGTACATGTCCCCTCCGCAGGAAAGCCGATTACCGGCTCTCCTCTCAAGCTGTCAGCGTGACAGCTCGAGAGGAGAGAAATGCCGATAACCGGCATTTCTGTGTTTACATGTGATCAGCTGTGATTGGACACAGCTGATCACATGACCGAGCCGACATCTTCAGCTCTTTCCGTGATCCGCTGTGTCCGAGGGACACAGCGCACCGGCGATCGCCACGCTGCGTGCTCCCTGAGCCGCGCATGCACGGTGAGAACGGAAGGACTTCATATGACGTCCTATCAGAACGAGAGAACCACCTTGCGCCTGTCATTGTACTATAGGGCGGGTGGAAGGTGGTTAAAGAATATATAAACCCAATTAAAAACATTTAATACATTGAAGCATACATGTCCTTAGATATGGACATCAATCTATAACAATGTTTTAGCCTTCCCAGCTATCTTCTGTGAACTGAAAAACTACACCGCCCTATGTAATAAAGATAGGAGAGGGGGAAATGTTTGTTGTCCAAATAAGGAGAGCATCCTTGGGTGACAACATTGCTCTATGTGTACAGTGAGTGTTGTCACCCATGGTCAGGAAGTGTTATAAGGCCCTTTCACATGGGCGCAATCAGTTCCGATCAACAGGGGATCTGTCTGCTGATCAGAACAGAGTGGACATTGGAAAAATGTAATAAAAGATATAATAATAATAATAATAAAAAAAGAACAGAGTGGATGACAGGTCCATGTCTGCTTAGTTTATGCAAAGCAGACACGAACAGAGCCCGCTGTGCTCTATAGCAGCCGGGTGTCACATAGTTATACAGTTATATAGTTAGTCTGTCTGAAAAAAGATAAATGTCCATCCAGTTCAACCATAAAAAAAAAGTTATAATCCTACACCCACAGTTGGTCCAGAGGAAGCAAAAAAACCCAGCAAAGCATGATCTCATTTTCTCCTGCAGGGAATAAATTCCTTCCTGATCCCCTGAGAGGCAATTGGATATTCCCTGGATCAACTTTACCTATAAATGTTAGTATCCAGTTATATTCTGTGTATCTAGGAAAGAATCCAGGCCTTTTTTAAAGCAATCCACTGAGCTGCCCAGGACCAACTCTTGAGGGAGTCTATTCCACATTTTTACAGCTTTTACTGTGAAGAAACCTTTCCGTATTTGGAGGTGAAATTTCTTTTCCCTCAGACGTAAAGAATGCCCCTTTGTCCTCCTGTGAGATGACTGAAGAGTGAAAACTTTACACCGAGTTCACTATATGAACCACTGATGTATTTATACATGGTGATCCTATCCCCCCTTAAACGGACTCCGCTGACCGTTTACACCCTGCTTGCCTCCAATGTAGTCTGCCCAAATGGAAGAAGATGCAGTCCTCCTCCATTTTTTTTTTTTTTTTTTTTTAGCACTTTTCAGACCTGGAGGTAGGCAGGTGGAAATGGACACAAGTCTGTTTACACCCGCCAGTTCAAAGGAATACATAGATCTTCCAATTAGGTCTGTCTGAAAAACTGACAGGCGACCTGATTGGATCATCCGTGTGAAAGGGCCCTTACTGGCCAGATCACCAGGTGAAAACAGAAGAAAAAAGCCAAACAAAGAAAACTAATGCGGCCACTACATCTAATGACGGGTAAACTGCAATACAGTGTATACGCGTGTGTGTGTATATGTATGTGTGTGTATATATATATATATATATATATATATGGTTTATATACAGTTTAATTCTCCAATGTCTACTAAACACTGAATTATTCACTTTGGACTTTTCATTTTAGATTATATTGCTTCAACTGATGAGGAAACCTCTTCTTTTCAGTATTCTATTCAGTGTTGAAGGCAATTCCCCTTTTAGAATAAATGTTTATATTTTGTGGGCTCAGCTACACTTGAGTACAATTAGTTACTGTATATTTCAGGGCAAAGCTCTCTCCGCCCCGTCACCACAATACAGCCGGCTATTTATTAGTTACACTTCCCAGCTTTTCCAAGTTGGTTTAACTTCCAGAAATGGATGAAAGTGCGTCACCATCCTCAAAGGCTCTTTTTTAGGGATGTGGCAGGATTAGGCTGGGAGTTTTTGGGAGGAAAAAGGAGGAGAGGCTGGGGGAGTGACTCACACCGTCTATCAGGCAGCCAAGAACACTTGTGTCATTGTGTAACGCCACAAATCATTCGCCAGTCGCCATCCAGGAGTGAGGTCATGCTGTGAAAATATCTCCGGATTAAAGAAGGCCCTGTCTGGGCTGACAATGTTTAAAATGGCACAAAAGTCATACCCCGCGTCTTATAATAGTTACTTCACCAGGAAATAGACATTAAGGGGTAAAGAGTAGGGATAAGCATAGTCATTTCTGCAAAACTGATTTTGCCGCTAAATGATCGACTGAAATTTCAAAGAAAGAGAGGCTCTTAGTTTTGTGTAATTAACTGCTTAGGTGAAATTTGCTTGAAAAAATTTTTTTTCTTTATTTTAAGAGCATGTTTTTTAATATTTAGAGCAGATTTATTTAGTTGTGTTGCATTAATGCACATAACATACATCGGTGAATGACAACCCATTACACTTTACTAAATGCACCTGCATTGTAGCACACTGTGTTGGGAGTGCGTTGCATTGTTAAAACAATATATGCACTTTTTTTATGGCTTTGGTACATTAGAAAGCCCATCCAAATTATTGGGCTTTCTTAATGCAACATACATTAGTGATATCAGGGGCTATTTTTTTGTTTTAATAACAAACATGATACTTGCTTGCCCTGTGCAGTATTTTGCACAGAACAGTCTGATCCTCCTTCTTGGGTTCCCAGCCTGTACTCATGGCTCCTCCCTTCTGCCGAGTGCCCCCAGACCAAGCAGCTTGATATGGGGGCACCTAAGCAGGCTCGCTGCTGAGCCAGTGCTCTGTGTGTCCATTCACCCACAGAGCTGAGGTTCAGCCCCACTCCATCTCTCTCCTCATTGGTTGTGATTTAGCCTGTGATTTAGCAGGAGCCAATAGCTCCCACTGCTGTCTCAGCCAATGAGGAGAGAGCGTCCCCGGGAGAACCAAAGCTCTTGTGCACATCGCTGGATTGCGATGGGGCTCAGGAAGTATTGGGGTGGGGGGCAGGGTGGACTGCTGCACGTGCAGGGAATGCATGAAGGTATAAGGCTTTACAATCACTTTAACACTCAGCATAATGTGCATGCGTTATGCACTCAAAACTTTAAATGAGCCATTAAAATAGTTTAATATTCTTTTTATTTATAACAAACTTACAACCTAAATAAAGGGATAATATTTTCATTTTTGTTTGTTTTTTTTTAAAATTACACACAACCCATAAAATCTTTTTTTCCTGGTTCCTTGCTTTTTAGACCTGTTCTTGGGTTATTTGGGGAGGTGATTCAGAAAATTGCACTGTCTAGGCTGTATCTAGTTTCTTAGATATGGTAGAATTATATAATTTTTTTAGTCAGTTTTTTGAGAAGATCTTGCTGATCAACTTATTCTTCTATTACCTAGCTTGTGTTTTTAGATACAAGTTAGCAGATATAAAGCGAGTGTTTACGTACTTCCAACTTGTTCATTTTAAATTGGAAATACAGGCGTAACTCGGTTTACGAACGCCTTGGTTAACATAATTTTTGGTTTATGAATGAAAATCCATTGAAAATAATTTTTTTTTTTTTCGCAATATGAATGGATTAATGCATGTACACATTTTTTTAATCATGTCCCTGTACAGTAATATGCATTTAAAGTGCACTTTAAAGAGTTTTGAACAGATAAAACTTTTTTTTTTTACTTTTTTTCTGACCTCCGGAACGGATTAATTGGTTTTCAAACATTTCCTATGGGAAACCGTGCGTTTCGGTTTACAAATTTTTTGCAATACGAAAAGTCCCACAGAACGAATTAAATTCGTAAACTGAGGTACGCCTGTATTGGATTCTAAAGTGTAAGGTATTAAACGTATTATAGGTATAGGATTGTATAGGATGTGAGTTGTATATTACCACTCAATTTGTTTCTTTTTTGCAGATCAAGCACCATAGAGGTTATGACTACTTTTTAGATGTTTCTTTCATGCTACAAGGAGAAAAATAAAACACTACATTAGAATTTCCTGATTTTTGATGGAATACCAGAGTGAAGAGTGGTATATGGCACATCATATGCTGTATCTCAAACTAGAGCTGATAAGGAACATTGGTGCTATTTTTGGAAACAGCGGGTCATATATACCCAGGAACAAGTCTAACATTTGAGGCACCAAAATGTGTGTTGGACTTTGCTTATTGTGTACACTTTAATATTATTTTTTTATTTATTTAATTTTGCTGTCTATTACTCTGTGAAGAAAACATAAAATATTAAAGAAGGCATATGTGGGTCATTGTTTGGCACAGGAACAGGTCCAGGATAGTTGAAAGAAGCTCCTGTAACCCTCAGCAGTCATTTTGGTCCATTGTTCCTTTAGAAACCACCGTATTTCACCTTTCCTGTTCAATCCAATGATTTTGCCAAAATCATCGCACGATTAGTAACAAAGTTTTGGGGAAATGAAGACTCTTAGTTTTGTTCATCCTGTGTAAAAAACAAAGTGCAGTACCCAAACAGCAGTAGTATTTGTCTTCCATTTAATGGTACACTCCTGTCGAACAGAAGGAAGGAGGTAGATCTCCCAAATGCTCATCCTGCATTTGTCACCAGTTGTCACCAGATCCAATGGAGAGAGTGAATCTCCCCAGGGGTATGGGGTGGGGGTGTCAAGGTGCAGACATTAAAGTAGAATTAGGTTAAAAAAAAAAGTTTCCTCCTACAGCTTTAGTGACCTAACCTACCTGTAATGAAGGATGTTCTACATTGTGCAAGCTGCTGAATCCTGTGTAAAGGGTTAATAGGTTCAGGTCTTAAGACTGAATTCAAAAGAAGATGCTCCTGATGGGGACCATGCTCTTCTCTATTCTCATCCATTGAGAAACGTATGGGCGTAGTGCACACTGCTGATATCACGATCTCTGAATGGAGGAGAGTCTGATGAATAACAGGATTCTCTCCCACATTCAGGTATGGTGTTATATGCAGTGTTATCAATGTTTTCTTGGATGAGAGGGGACGATCAGGAGCTTTTTCTGTTGAGTTCAGCAGAACTGGA